GAAGGGTAGGACATAGATTTTTCAAGACAGAACCTCTGTAAATGATTCGTAGCACTTTCTGTCCTGCTATCAGTTTACACCGTCAGCTGGATCATATAATAGAGCTTTTCCCAAGGTTATAGATTAATAGATTTAGCACCTTAAAGGTCATCTCATCCAACTCTTTGATGCAACACCAATATTAATGCCACATAAAAGCTCAATGCTTGAATTTCTGCTTTCCCACATTCTTCGATATTTTTGAAGCTAATCATCTTCCCAAAGCACGTTTAGCAGAAGAGTGGCAATAGAATGAGCAGGAGCTGCTAGTCATGACTTTAAACTGGCTTAAACTGTTGGGTTGCTTGCTTATTAGGAATTATTATTATCAGTATTCATGCATTAATTTTCTGGGCAAAAAGCCCTGTTAAGATGGCTCGCGTATAAACTAAAAAGCATACAATGCAATTAAAATCAGCTAATTCTAAGACTGCCAAACTCGAACCGCCGTTTAAGCCACTTTCAATCCAAATACCACAAATTCACTAAAGGAAAGCAATTTAAAACAAGAGGCAGAAGCCGGACATACAATTAAAAGATATAATTGTTGTTTGTTTCCTTGGGTAATGCGGTTTCAACCCTCACCGTTTCTCATGAGCCAGAAAATGCCTTAGGAGAAAATGCCTCCCCTGGAGAACAATTTATGCTGTCACCACCAGAAAAAAACTGTGTGTCAAAAATAGTTTTGCTTCAGGAGTGTTTTGGCAAACAATGACGAGGATAATCAACAACCACTGCTATAAAGGCAAGTCAACAGAATCATTTGACACCCATATAAAAACCTCTTATATTGATATTGTTTCCTGATTGCTTATTTGTACCCTATGACTATCATTAAGTATTGTACCTTATGATTCCTGATGGACGTATATTTTCTTTTATGTACACTGAGAGCATATGCACCGAAGACAAATTCCTTTTGTGTCCAATCACACTTGGCCAATAAAAAAGGTTCTATTCTATTCTATTTAAAATTTGAACTGAAACTCTGAAACTGCAGCTTCGTTTTAATTTACATACCGAGCAAGTGACATCCAAACCTCACCTCCAAAATGATCATCATCTTAGGAAACAGAAACTGAAATAGCAGCAGTGAACATCTTTAGGCAACCAATAATAACGGCCAAAAAAGAGAGAAATCTTTCTAAAAACACAGGACAGGACTGTGAGCTACGTTTGCCAACACACTAACCCATTATTCTCTCACTTTTATTATTTATTATTATCATCTAATTGAATTATCCCATTTTTAAAGATTTCAATAACAAGCACAGAGTGCTCAGGCTGAGTTTGCCAGAAATAGCTACCTCATTTGTGTCTCAGTCTGTTGGGCAAACACAACCAATGATTTATTAGGCGAGTGGATAAAAGAAACTGCAGATTTCCCTCCATAATTAAGGCTGGAGCATATGGCAGCATGTAATGCCCAACAAGATTTCAGTTAAACGTGTTTGTTCTCTATTTCTTTGCCTTTCTGGAATGTGTCTTGGCAAAAGAGAGGTGCATCTCGTGGGTTGCATTACTCTGTCCTACACCTAGAAGATGTATGCTTTAATAATTGCTGTGAAGTTACATAAACACACAAGAGACAAAGCTAAATAGGTAAAACAGAACTAACTACGTCATTGCTGGATTGACAGATTGACTGAAGAGATATCAGTCAATCATGAAGAAGTTGGCTAGAAAAAACTTCAACATCAAGGTGAAGATAGTTATTTTTCAAGAGGTGCTATTTAGTGACTATAGCTAATAGGTAAAGGTAAAGGTTTCCCTCGCACATATATGCTAGTCATTCCCGACTCTAGGTGGCAGTGCTGATCTCCATTTCAAAACTGAAGAGCCAGCGCTGTCCGAAGATGTCTCCATGGTCATGTGGCCGGCATGACTCAATGCCAAAGGTGCATGGAACACTGTTACCTTCTCACCAAAGGTGGTCCCTATTTTTCTACTTGCATTTTTTACGTGCTTTCGAACTGCTAGGTTGGCAGAAGCTGGGACAAGTAACGGGAGCTCACCGCATTACGTGGAACCAGGGATTCAAACCACTGAACTGCCGACCTTTCGATCGACAAGCTCAGCGTCTTACCCACTGAGCCACTGTGTCCCTAATAACTAATTACATAACTATATTAATAACTAATAACTAAATTATATAACTAATAACTAATTAATGGCTTATATATATATATATATATATATATATATATTCTTTTTACAAAGCTAATGGGTTTGGGTGTATGGTCCAAAAGGGCGAAAGGGTCAAAACTCAAAGAACGCCCAGTATGAAGATATTCCTAGGTTGAAACTCAAGAGAAAGCATCCTTATCCAAACTCTGAAGAGCTCTATCTGTCAGGGACAACAATTCCCTTTTATGCTATTCAATTCCCTTTTAACAACAATTCCCTTTTAAGCCAGGAATGCCACCTTTGCACTGTCTAAGGCTCGGGTCTGCAACCTTAAACACTCAAAGAGCCATTTGGACCCATTTCCCACAGAAAAGAAAACACCGGGAGCCACAAAACCTGGGTAGGCGTGGCCAACTTGAGGTCACTCACTTCCACCAGTCACATGACACACACACACACCAGCCTGCCTTGTCATTAGGGCAGAGAACTGGTTCTTAAAAAAAAAAAAACGGGAACCACAAAATCTTTTTGACATCTCTCTCTCTCCCTCCCTCTCCCCTGCACTCTCTGTATTTCTCTCTCTCTGCCCCGGCTGCTTTTCCATCCCCCGCCATCGCCCTTACCTTCTCAGGCCAGGCGAGGAGTGACTGGGAGGGAAGGGCAATGGGCAGGGCCAGCCAGTGGTGGGATCACCTGACATGAAGCCACAGCAGAGGGCCCAAAGAGCCACATGCGGCTCCAGAGCTGCAGGTTGCTAACACTCGGTCTAAGGCTAATGACAGTGTCTAAAATAATCTCCTACAACATAACTAACAATGAGCCTTGGTAGTACAGTGGTTTAATGCACCCTGTTATTAACACAGCTGCCTGCAATTTCTGCAGGTTCGAATCTTACCAGGCTCAAGGTTGACTCAGCCTTCCATCCTTTCTAAGGTAGGTGAAATGAGGACCCAGTTTGTGGGGGCAATAAGCTGACTTTGTATAAATATACAAAAGTATGAAGGCTATTGCTTAACGCATTGTAAGCCGCCCTGAGTCTCCGGAGAAGGGCGGCATATAAATCAAATTTTAAAAAAAACAAAAAAACAATCAATGCTGGAACCATGCTGTAGAATTATGATAAATCATGGCAGAATGATACCCCTAATTTCTAAACTGAATACTATCCACCTACTTGTAAATGGATTTTTTTTAAAAAAAGGATGCTAAGTAGGCTAGTTAAGACTTCGGTTTTGCTTCAGCAAAAGGAAATCTTCAATTCGGCAACTCTGATTTCCCCAAATTAGTTCCAGGCAGAAACCTGCTAATCCTGAACATTTCTACCCTTCTTTGCCTACTTGCTTGCCTTAACCCTTCCCCCAGCAATAGGCCTGCAGCATCTCCTCTAATACAGGTTATGATGTTGTCCTGACTCTACAGCGGCTCCTGAAACCTAGACTCAGGATGCTGAATATTCCAGCTGGAGAAGTTTTGAAACATGGAAAGCCTTAATTTTCCCATGATGAAAACACTCTTATTTTCTGTTTGCAGTTGAGAACATTTAATTCCCTTTCTAATGTCCTGGGGTAAACTACAAAGAATCCCAATGCTTTTCTTTGCTTTCACTTGCCATGTTTAAACACAGATATCTGATTTAAGCAACCAGTCAAGAATAGATACACACACACACACACACACATGAAAGAGAGAGGGGGGGGAAGGGCAGGAGGGAGAGAAAGAGAGGAAGAGGAAGAGAGGAAGAGAGAGAGGGAAGGAGGGAGAGAGAGAGAGGGAGAGAGAGGGAGGGGAAGAAACAGAGAAAGAGAGAGGGCGAGGGAGGGCGAAGGGAGGGAGGGAGAGAGGGAGGGAGAGGGAGGGAGAGAGAGAGAAAGAGAGAGGGAGGGAGGGAGAGAAAGAGAGAGGGTGAAGGGAGGGAGGGAGGGAGAGAGAGAGAGAGGGAGGGAGAGAGAGAAAGAGAGAGGGAGGGAGAGAGAGAAAGAGAGGGCGAAGGGAGGGAAGGAGGGAGAGAGAGAGAAAGAGGAAGAGAGAAAGAGAGAGGGGGAGAGAGAAAGTGAAAGAGAGAGGGGGAAGGGGAAGGGAGGGGGGAGAGAGAGAGGAAAAGAGGAAGAGAGAGAGGGAGGGAGGGAGAAAGAGAGAGGGAGGGAGAGAGAGAAAGAGAGGGTGAAGGGAGGGAGGGAGAGAGAGAGAAAGAGAGGAAGAGAGAAAGAGAGAGGGGGAAGAGAGAGAGTGAAAGAGAGAGTGGGAAGGGAGGGGGGAGAGAGACATCTATCTCCCTAAACAGATATGAATCCAGACTTGTCCCCTATTTAGCAAAGTTCTTATCTTTAAAAAAAATTTCAAGCACATGGGGGGAAATTTTTTTATCTTGCTCTAAAGCTGGAGACACCAAAGCTTGAAAAACAGATGGAAAAAAAAAGACCTCATAACTCCAGTCCAACAATAATATGTTTCAAGCATCACTGAATAGTCAAATATTCTGGGTGCACGGGATTATTCTCTTAGGTGAGGTATTTCAGAAGCATTGTACCTAAGGTGTAACTGGGGTGGGTGGGTGGGGGAAGGATGGTGAACCATCCTAAAATAACCACATGGCGAAGTCCGTAGCAGAGGGGAGATCTGAAGGCAGACTTCCTGCCGGTGTAGCAGTTCCTCTTTTTATGCATCCACCGTGACTAGTGCGGAGAACGCTCTCCTCTGATTTGGGATGCAGGAAGTGTAATAATATATCAAAGTTTCCACTACTAGACAAGTCCCCCGGCTTGCCTTGAGGGAAAGGAAGGGGAAGGAGCCGCACAGCCATCAGATTTCTCTCCAGCTAGTCGAAGTCTTCTTACCTGAAAAGTAGAGAGAAGCACCTGCAAGCCACTACTTCCTTGCTCAGCCATGTTGCTGGGCTTGAACTCACCCCAAAAACTTTTAAATTCCAACAGAAGTTTTTTTTTTTTAATCCAACTGCTGTTGTCTCTGTCCTGATCAAGAGAGCAGCTCAATCCCAATCAGGAGAGAATAAAACAAAAAACAAGAAAAAAATCAAAGCAACACCATTCTCGACCTTCACACACGGAAACAAATAACACGTATACAGACAATATGCATCAGCTTCCCACCCAGATCTCTGGGCTCTTTGCTGCTCTCCCAGTGTGGCAGAGAGATTAATTCCTATATAAAGAATCCAGGGGATTAAGAAAAGCTCTCGGCAAAAGGTCTGGATGTTTAGTGCACAGCCAGAGGCATGCAGGGTGGCTGGCCAGGAGGGAAGAGAAGGGAAAAGCAGAAAAAGAGGCAAATTTGCATAGTCCTCCGGGCGGCGGGACCGAGGAGTGGGCGGTTGAACTTGGCTGCCTGACAGGCATTCTCAGCTGACCGGCTGATCAGTTCCAGAGGACTTTCTGAGGCCACTTGGTGTGTCTGCTTCTGTCCCGGTGAAATCAGAGAGGCCCGCAGATGGACATGAGACACAGAAGTCCAGGCGAGCCATGGGGCACAAAGAAGGAACATTGGCAAGCTCTTAAAGACGCACTTCAAAATTGAGGCTCATCCATCAGGCGAACTGTGGTTTCTTCGGTCTTCGTTTAGCAGAGCGCGCAAAGATGGATTGTACAGTCCACTTTTTTGACGGCGCCATGTACTGTATGAGCCCAAGTCATCGGGGCTTGTTAAACAAATCACAGCTGCAAGCAACCGTGCTTGTGACAACATGGAAATCTTTGAAGGCAGCCTTCAGTCTTGCACACGTTTAATACATAGCAGCTCATCCATCTGTACTTCCCTCAACTCACTGGTGAATTTTAATGAGGTCACCTTAGGTCCTCCAAGGCCACAAAAATGCAGTTTCTGGCTTCCAACAGTCTATGCCAATGACCAGCAAGCCAAGTTCCTCAAAGTTGATCTTAAGCAGCTTGGAATTCTGAGAGCAGAATAGAATTGGCAAAGATTGATCAAGGATGGCTATGTAGCCAATTTTGCTGAAGAACAAGGATTGGAGGACAAAAAAATCATCATGCCCCTCTCTCTTTCTGGAATTATACTTGGATGAATTTTATTTATTTAGTTAGTTAGTTTGTCAAACATGTAAGAGATAACAGATATAAGTATAAACATGGGTATGAACACAGGAAATCAGTACAAATAAATGGGGACAGTAGGACAGGGACGGTAGGCACGCTGGTGCACTTATGCACACCCCTTACAGACCTCTTAGGAATGGGATGAGGTCCACAGTAGACAGTTTAAGGTTAACGTTTTGGGGGTTTGGGGATGAAACCACAGAGTCGGGTAGAGCATTCCAGGCCTTGACCACTCTGTTGCTGAAGTCGTATTTTCTGCAATCGAGTTTGGAGCGGTTCACTTTAAGTTTGTATCTATTGTGTGCTCATGTATTGTTGTGGTTGAAGCTGAAGTAGTCATTGACAGATAGGACATTGCAGCAGATAATTTTGTGTACTACGCTTAGGTCAGACTGAAGACGGCATAGTTCTAAGTTGTCTAAGCCCAAAATTTCGAGCCTGATGGCATAAGGTATTCTGTTGTGAGCAGAGGAGTGGAGGACTCTTCTCATGAAATACCTCTGGACTCGCTCAATTGTATTAATGTCCGATATACAGTGCGGATTCCTTTCTTCCCCATTTTTTCTTAGATGGCTTCTCCATTACTTGCCTGTTCCTTGTCTCACCGTTTCAGCTTCTGGGGCTATGAATTCAGCAGGATTAGAAAGAAGAAATACTCCTAAAAATACTTCTCTCTAACCAATCCCACTAGAATTTAACTTGGAGGAAAAATAACACGGCTGTCAATGATGTTGCCAGGGTCAGTCCTTGAAGTATCTGTCTCGCCCTGACAAGACCCAGAAAGTCTAATAAAAGAAGTTTATGTAATAGCCAAGGCAGACTTGTGGGATAATGTTCTATCATGAGCAAAGGAACGGAGGGCGACAAAAACCTTTTAAGAACTTATAAAAGCTTGGCTAGAACTCAACATGCTTCACTGATTAATCCACTGGCTGCAAAAATGACTTTAGAGCTAATTAAAGGCAGCTTAAAGAAGCTGTTGTGCTGTTTTCTCTCGCTTCTCACTTTCCCCATTCTACAGATAAATGCATCTATCACTGGAGCTGGATGAAGCCATCATTACCTAAAGACTAAAACAACAAAAACTCCAAACCATTTGCCTAGTTTATGGACATCACATTTTCTCTTTTTCGGACACCAAGAGTTACAGAATTATAGTAAGATAAAGGTAAAGGTTCCCCTCGCACTTATGTGCTAGTTGTTCCTGACTCTATAGGGCGGTGCTCATCTCCGTTTCAAAGCCGAAGAGCCAGCACTGTCCGAAGACATCTCCATGGTCATGTGGCCGACATGACTAAACGCCAAAGGCACACAGAATACTGTTACCTTCCCACCAAAGGTGGTCTCTATTTTTCTACTTGTATTTTTTATGTCCTTTCGAACTGCTAGGTTGACAGAAGCTGGGACAAGTAACGGGAGCTCACCCCATTACGCAGCACTAGGGATTTGAACCACTGAACTGCCGACCTTTTGATCAACAAGCTCAGCATCTTAGGCATAGATAGATAGATAGATGATAGATAGATAGATAGATAGATAGATAGATAGATAGATAGATAGATAGATAGATGTAAAGTTTCCCCTCGAACATATGTGCTAGTCATTCCCTACTCTAGGGGGCGGTGCTCATCTTTGTTTCAAAGCCGAAGAGCCAGCGCTGTCCAAAGACGTCTCCGGGGTCATGACTAAACACCAAAGGCACGAAGAACGCTGTTCCCTTCCCACCAAACGTGGTCCCTCTTTTTCTACTTGCATTTTTATATTCTTTTGAACTGCTAGGTTGGCAGAAGCTGGGACAAGTAACGGGAGCTCACCCCATTATGCAGCACTAGGGATTCAAACCGCTGAATGTGAATTTAATGGGGAGGGGCCTCATTAACTGGCAATATAATCTGGGAAAATATACTGGAGTATCTGTTGTGCTGTGTTGTTTTTCAGGACTTCGGGTCTAGAGCAGGGGTCTCCAGCAAAGCTGGCTGAGGAACTCTGGGAGTTGAAGTCCACAAGTCTTAAAGTGGCCAAGGTTGGAGACCCCTGGTCTAGACAAAATAGACCATTTTTGCTTCTGAAGATGCCAGCCACAGATGCCAGTGAAACATCAAGAAATCTGTTGTCTATACCTCAGTCACTAAATCCTAAAGACCAATATTGCCCAATATTCTTATTACCTTGGAATCAAATTTCACTTTCTGAAAATATACATAATATGATGAAATTAGACCAGATCTATATTCCTCCCAGTTTCAGAAACTAGGACTACTGTATTTCCCCCAAAATAAGAATAGGTCTTATATTAATTTTTGTTCCAAAAGACACATTATGGCTTATTTTCCAGTTAGGTCTTATTTTGGGGGAAATACAGTACTAAACGCTTCAGTCTGGTTGACGAACTTAACTGGGGCTTATTTTTTGGGTAGGGCTTATATTACAAGCATCCTGAAAAATCATGCTAGGGTTTATTTTCCGGTTGGGTCTTATTTTCGGGAAAACAGGGTACCAGAGATGGTCAATGGGAAGAGATTTTGAATGGGTAAAAGAAAGTTCTTCTTAACCTAACAGACCAGCAACCTGTAGAACTCTACCACCAGTGGAAAGAAAACACTGAACTATCCTTCTATTCTCTCTCTCTCCCTCTCCCCTGCCTGCCTACCTAGACCGGTACCTACCTACCTATCTATCACTATCTACCTACCTACTTACCTACCTAAGTATACGGAAGACTGGGTGATGGCCACTAACTTGATTGGCTTTAAACAGGGATTAATCTTGAAGACTCAACATTGGGAAGAACAATTTTCCAGACACCAGTTGCAGGAGAACAATAGAGTACAGAGGATATATCGTATCTCTTGCCTGTATTCCAGCATCACTTGGATGGTCCCAGGGATGAAATCCAGCAGGTTCTGACAGGTTCTGGAGAACCGGTAGCAGAAATTTTGAGTAGTTCGGAGAACCGGCAAATACCAATGCTGGCTGGACCCAGAGTGGGGAGGGAATGGAGGTTTTGCAGTATCCTTCCCCTGCCACGCCCACCAAGCCATGCCCACAGAATCGTTAGTAAAAAAATTTGGATTTCACCACTGGATGGTCCTGATAAGACCCCTAAATGTTGGACTAAGGTGAACCTTAACATTCTCCAACAAGGCTGTTCTTACATCCTTAACATTTTGCCCATTTTTCACTGTTTAAAAAGAAAAAGGCAAAGGAATAATCGGAGAAGAATTGTTATAAAATTTAAGACAATATATCAAACGGATTAAATACATATAGCAGCAAAAGGGTTCCTTTACAAGGCACCGAGGAGGATAAAAATAAAGATCATTACAAGCCTGGCATAATAAAAAGTGTTTCATAGCCCATTTAAAACTGGACAGAAATAAAAGGCGGATAAATTCTTCCAAATGCAGATTTTTTATTTATTTTTTTACCAAAGAAGTCTCGCCTAACCTTAACTCTTCCCTTTCTGACTTTTACTAATCGAAAGCCAATGTGTAAATTCTCTCAAGTGAGGAGTGGGTTTTGGATAGGTGAATGTTGGCATAAGGATAATTGTTCTGCTAACTTAGCCTTAAGGACTTTTTAAATCATCACTAGCAGCATTATATGAGGTGGAAATGCATTCCTGTGCTACCTTCCTCCCAATCCCTTTTCTAAAAAGGTAATTTCATCTGAAAATAGATGGGATTTAAAACACAAACACACACACACACACACACACAAGGTTCTCTGCTAGCAATCAGTTCTACAGATTTACAGAAAGGCAACTTCTGAATTTCTTGTCCACGTGAATATTCCTAAATAACTCGGGGAAAATACAACTGCAATTGCTGATGGAGCTGTGATCTCCCACTGAATCTGATTTAAGAATTTTACCGCCTCACCATCCTGACAGACTAAATGGGGCCAAAAGGTTAAACTGTTGATTTCAAATGAAGCTTTTCGACTGGGATCAATTTATTCTCCTTTGACCTGGGCAGATTGTCAATAGACTACAGAAATAGTTTGGGTTAGGCTCTTGTTCATGTCCCATTAATGGTAAGCTGCTCTTATTTAAAAAGAAAATGAAAATAAAGCATGGACCCACCCACTTGGGAGCTTGATTGTAGTCAGTCAACAGATGGAATCTGTT